TATGGTCATTTGTTCTGGGAATGTCATTTTCGAGCCTGAAACCTGAAAAACAGGCTTGGGGCCTGACAGTTAAGGTCCAAACAACAGTAAAAAAAAAACATGTCAGTTTTTCATGCACTGGTCAATTTTAGGAGATTATTGATGCCTTTTTTCAGAAAAGTGGAAAAAAAATGTTTTAGCTGTTTATTTTGCCATCTTTATCAATCCGCGTCAGTAGATTTTTGATTATGTTACCAAAAGAAAGCATGACTGATAGCTCATTTGCATATTAAACATAATATTTCAGAAAACTTGTTATAAAAATCGTATTTATTTGCGTCTTAATGTTAGTGATGAACTGAGGATGTTCCACGGTGATCTACATTTTTTATAGCTGTTTATAATATTTTCTGATTTCTGGATTCGAAGTCCCCTCTGCAAAAACATTTGACTCATCACTAATCTGAAACGAAATTAAATTAAAAAGAATGAACCTGGCTGCATCCAATTTTCAGATTTCTGTGTTGAAAATGTAGGTAAATTAAGACCTAATATTTGATAAGATCAAGTCATCATCATTTTCCTATTTTAACATAATGTAAGTAGACATTATTTTATGTGTGGCTCCCCTTAAAATATTTACGAATGGTTAGTTAGCTGTTTAATTACCTAGCTTATTGGCCATATATGGCTAATAGTTGCTATATAGGTTTTTGTCTACATTTTGATTATTATCCACAACTAATCAAAATCTTGAATTCATCAAATCTATAGATGTTCATCCCCTTTGAATAAACTAGTGGTATTGATTTGTGGAATTCCCTTTTTGGTCCCGTGTTTGTTTAACAGGATAAAATGCTGTGATTCAGACCAGGACACACCGGGGTCTTCAGGTGAATCAGATTATCTGAGACCTGCCCAGGGACACTTCTTTCCGGCCGGAAATCAAATCTGCTGCCAGGTCACTCCTGTCCTGACTCTTTTAATGGATGTAATCGGGTGTAAGCAGAGTTAATTCAACATATATTCATTTGACTAATCCATTGTAGAGAGGAAGCTGAGATAGAACATACACACATAGAGTCACATTTTCTTACATAATTATATCTGCCCTTATCTCAGTGGGGTAACAAGGTTGTGATTGGCCCCGGTGCAAATATTGTTTTGGTTTGCTGCTACATTATAAATGCAAGCTATTACATTTTTATAATGCTGCTGAACTTGCTGCTGCTAGCTACAGTACAGTACAGATTGATTAAACGGTTCGCTCGTCACGCAAGGTATCACATGACCTGAAAGGGAGCAAGGTCATTGGACAGACAAATGACTAATTCATTTAGGTTGCATGGTTACTTTGAAGACTGCGTGAACCGGTCAATGCCATTAAAAATATATATTAAAAAAAAATGTTTGCATGGGCCCCGGTGCGTTGCACTGGCTGCACCGTCGAGTTACGCCACTGCCTTATCTCTTATTGCACAAAATGGTTTGCAGATGTTGTTGTAATTCCTGTTGGTCACCAGTAGACGTCAGTGGAGGTTATAGGTCTACTAATTAGTCTGACTTAAAGTCTATTAATATTGATTGATCCCAGAGAGGGGACAAATAGGGTATGTTGATAAAACTGAGTAATATGCTATTTTTCTTCTCATATTATGTTTGGAAAATACTGCACTTTATATGCACATCTTGATTAAAAAAAATTAAATGTGTTCTAAATGTTGCTCTAATGCATGTTGTTACATCGCCATTTTTGCAAAACAGATCTAAAGAAAAGCTACCAATATTCCTGAATGAAATATATAACATTATATACATAATATGTTTATACATACATTTCAAAATGTTTAAAATATAACATTAGTTATACACATACTGCATGTATCTATTCAATAATATATCAATGCTATATAAAAATGTTAAGATAATGTATACCGTGAATGTAGTGATATTTAATCTAAAATACAGTGTGTTGCGCTTATGTCTTTCTGTTAACTTTGAAGAAGTGCAATGACATGTACAGAGCTATATCTACAAATATCAATATACTCTATGTTCAAATCGTCATTTATTTTTTGTATTTAACTTATTAACTCATAAAAATGCATGAACGTGTATTAGTATTACAAAGAGAATCTCATTTATATTGTTGAAAATGTAATTTTAAAAAACAGCCATGTATAATGTATCAAAAAGTGTTTATTTAAACTAAATAGGATAAACTGCTTTACAGATATTCAAATACTATAAAAAAACAAAGAGATATTAAATCATAATACATACAGCATCAATAACAGTAATAGCACAGCCGGTGCACATCTATGACTGAAATGTTTCTGACATGCTTGTAACACTAGGACATTGAGAGTTTGATTCAGTGGCTTCTATCTCATATTAACACTGACAAAAAGAGGCAGCAGCAGACTTTCAATCTGAAAAGAATCCAGACTTCCTGTTTGGTCTCAGCGGTTGTGTCGGTACACACGGATCTTGCGGCTGAGGTTGCGAGCGAGCCGGTCCACGGCGCTGCCGATGTGTCCCACCTCTTTCTTAGAGGTGAGGCCCTCGATGTTCCCGCTGTACCACAACACCCACCCAGCCAGAGAAATTACCACGAACAGAGCGCCTGCAGTCAGATCAGTCAAGAGTTTAGAACACAGACAGTTAAGAAACCAGAAAAGGAAATAATTCAAATAAAAAATATCACTTTTACAAAGATGTATTGCATGTGTTGCTTTACTTACTGGGCCAAAACAAGATGGTGGTTCTTATAATATGGATATTTAATCAAATCTGATATTTGCACACTTTCCTACTTGACGAACAACAATTTCGTTCGGGGTAAAATAAATTATATGGATTCTTTGAGTAAGTGAAAGATAAATGTAAAAATAGGTATTAAAATGCACTTCTGCATGTTGACATCTTGAGAACAATAAACATATACAAATATTGCAGTGCACAATTGCATTCTTGTTTTAGTTCATTGATGAGTTGCATGTTTTTGTATTGTGTTTTCTATACTGAAAATCCCTTTTTAACATTTAACAATTGAAACCCTAGAACAAATAAAAACAATGTGTGAACTGAAAATCATTCAGAGCTTACTGTACCTCCCATTGCAAAGGATGAATGTTTTTTACTTTAAATTCCATTCTCTTCTCTATTTTAATGCTTTTGTAATTCCTCCCTTATTGTATCCCGTTGCCAGTGTTGCATTTTAGGGATAATTGCATACCAGTATAGACCAGTAAGTCTCCAAAGTCATGTCCATTGATCTCCAGGGTAGCGAAGACCCCCACCAGCAGAGCGGCTCCTCCCAGTAAATCCATCAACACAGCAAAGGCCAGAGCCAGCTTACAGTGGGAGAGGCCGTCACACAGGCCCATAGTGGAACTGTGGAAGAGGGAAGAGGTAGAGAAAGGACTTTTATTATCTAAAGCAGGTACACAAAACACATTCAAACTATATCTTTACCTCAACCAACAATGATAGTAAAATCATGCTTTTACATAAATGCATGATAAAATGACTAACTAACTAACTAAATACAATATATAGTATAATAGTCTAACAGTCACATAATAACATGTTTATACTTTTAATACTTACATTCTATTACATAAGTAACATGTTCAATGCAGGACTTGCAGCAGAGTATGTTTACAGTGTGGTAATAGTTATTTTACATTAGTGAACCATATCAGTAGCTTACTTCTTCCACTGTTCTAATATTCAGTCAATATTAACCACCATGTTGATAGCCCACCACTAACTAAACGCTGATGTGACTCGTCGTGAGGCTGTCCATTTTTGGAGGGCTTTCAGTGGAAATAGGATTTCATGTCTGTACGCTTTCTTAACACCACAACAACATGTATTGACTCTATCGTGGCGATTTCCCTACAAATATGGACAAACTAAAGATATTGGTGTTCATGTGTTACAGCCCTCCTCAGATGAGTCTTTAAAATTCTGCAATACAAATAAAAAAAACATAACGTTTCCCACCGTCAATACTTCTACATTGACTCACATGTTATAGGTGTTTCTCCAGCAGCATACAATCTTGCTTTTTTTGTTCTTATGCGAAGTTTCTCTCGTGCAGTTTTTCTTTGTTTCCGCGTTTACTGCACTTACCTGGACCCCGCCCCTCAGGTGACACGTGTCCGGTCTGCCCGTTCCCACCTTCGTCTTTAAAGGAGAAGAATAACCACAGGTTATGTTAATGTTTCAATTACACTTGTACAAAGATTATATTCTGCAATACCCTTTCGTAAATGTTTAAATGTAATATTAATTACGTGCTATGTCTTTGTGTGAGAACATGTCACGGTTTATATGGAGACATTATATGCAAACATTTCTAACTAAAAAAGGCGAACTACTCTTTATCGTAGTCCATTTTATTTGTATTATTTAAAATAACTCAATGAATACAAATAGGCTACTAGCTTTATCAACCCAATTGTTAATAATCATTTGGAAAATCCCATATAGCCTACAATGACACACACAAATAATTTGTACTAGGCCTACATAAATAATACAATTCTCTAGAAAAGCTCAAAAAAATAAAAGCAACAAACACCCAAACAATATAAAAAACATGTTGAATATATACTTGTTAATTTGATGTGCACGTTTTAGTATGTTTTTGTTCCTCCTATGTTTTTTGTATAACTTTAATATAAGTTAGGCTACTTAACTATCAGGCCTTTGGTCTTTTCTTTGCCAAGTACATATCCTGGCACCCTTTTTTTCTTCTTTTTTCTATTAACTATTTTGTGTTGTTTGTGTTTTACCTATCAATAAAGTTAGGGTTTAAAAACTTTGATCCTCAACTATCCAACCAACCTGCAATACCGTTAGGAGCATTTCTGACTGAGTGGAGTCATAGTGGTCATGATGTGCAGGTGTTCAGTAGTTCCGACACAACTTTAAAGCTTTTTTTAATGAGGAAAAACCAGCGTTGTGCGCATGTGCACACATGAGCGTGCTACACCTGTTGGAGCCACTTATAATCAAGTAATTGCTGCTGAAGATGCGGTCTCGCGAATGTTGAGCAGCAGCTGTGTGTCGTTTTCAGGCTGTATTACAGAAGTATAACTGCACATAGCTTTACTGAAGACTAAGTAATAATACCAAGTTTATCACATATTTCTCACCAGAGCAGCTCGCCTTTCAGTCATGAATCCTCCAACAGACAGAGACGATACGCACCCAACAGGTAACGTTTTAAATGGCGTATCCCTACCTTGTGCTACGAGCAAAAATGCTACAAGGCGTTGAAGTTACTTTAACACTTAAAATAATAAGCTAAACTCCTCGTCTGTTTATAGACTCGACTGTCTTTATTTATGCTTTTTGACAATATGGGATGTTGGGTGCATTTATGTGCTAAACAAATCACTTTCTGTGTCTAAACTGCCGTTATAATTTACTAACGGCTAATTTAGCATCTAATTTAGCTTTACAGTTTACCCTATGTTCTATGCTATGACTATTTTACTGATGTGCTGCTGTGTTGATTTATTTCAGAGTATAGGTTTCAAAGTATTTCGATTTTCAAAGTACTCAAAGTTATAGTTGCAACTTTGTAATGCTTTTTGTGCACTCTTTCCTACTTTGTTCAACCACTGGTGCACATCATTTTACCTTGATATATCAAGTTCTATCTTAATATATAGCCAGCGTATTTTACATTTCACATTTTATGATTTGTGTTACCACCATCTATAACACTATTGATACTGATGTATTGTCTGAGCCATGTACCCATTAAGCTAAAATGCTAATTACCATTCTTTGATCGCAGCACTCAAATGTGTGCATGTTCTACTTTACATCAAGAAAAAATCAATAAGTTTGAAGAAGGGGGACAGTGGTGGGATATGGTCTTTATTTAATTCCCTAAAACTCTGTGGGATGCACTGTTTTCAAATCAACCTGTAAAGAAGAACCAGCGGATCAATCTATCATGATAATAATCTAATAATATTCTGTTGTTTTGTGTGTGTTTCTCAGAGCACTTCACGCCCCAACCCACATCCTCAGGAGGGGGAGGGTTGTACCTGGACAGCTATGAAGTCTCTTTTCCTCTGGAGGAGAGTATCGAGAGACCCCCTGCTTATCACCTGAACCAGGGTCAGCCGATGATGGACGGTACGCCACGTCTACTACACATGACCACTGCTTTTCTATTTGTTCCTAGTTTTATAATGAAGCAGCTAACACACAGTGACAGTTCATAGTACAAGTTATTCTACATGTTCCTGTTTTCACACTGCATTCAATAGATGTTTTAAATCTGGTAATTGTTTTAGTACTAATATAGAAAACGAGGGGTAGTTTTTTCAAAGAGACAGTCAACCCTCTTTTAACAAGCATGTTAAAACCCACAGAGATAATTTAAGTTGAGATACAAATGTTTGAAAAAATACGTTCCTACCTATACAGTCACCAATTACATTGCTTCACCTCTTTTTTTCTTTCAATGTTTTTTGACTTTTATTTTCAGTTTTTCAAATATATTCATGTGTTTCCTCCTCTTTTTTGCTTCTTTACCTTATTTGGTAAAGCAGCTTAGCATAACATATTCACTACTCTACATATAAGTTAGAAATTAAACAAATTGTAGAAATCAACCTCAAAATGTAAAGTTATTATCGGCTGGTCTTTATTTATGTGCTCAGGATCAATCTTTTGGACAATGAATGACATTGTTGTACACTACTGCTGTATACATTTATGACTGCAGTTACATTTTCTTGCAACTGGCTCTTTTTTTCACAAGAACTTTTGTTTAATAGAGTCTATGGTTTAATGGCTGTTCTCCTGCAGGGCCTGTGGTGCACGAGCCCCCTCACTCCCAGTACAGCCCTTTCATCCTGATCTCTAACCTGCGAGCTCACCTGTACGTCACTCTGGAGAAGAACACTTGGCTGCAGAAGCGCATCGAGGATATGGAGGAGGAACGCAACTTCCTGCGCTGTCAGCTGGACCGATTCATCATCAACATGCGGGGTCCGGAGGGTGAGGAGTCGGCCAACGATTGTTGTATTTAGTTTGTTGTTTTGTTAAAAGGAAGAGTTTTAAAAAATTCATCCACATCAACAAGTGATCAGGTTAGGATGAACATAATTATTTATTTCTCTAAATATAATGCAAGGTGTGTTTTTAAAATAACAGATGAGTTAGGAGGAATTTCAATTCACCTATGTGTGCAAATATTAATGAAAAATGCAAAATACTAAGATGGGTAAATTATACACGTGAAAACAAATATATATATATATATAAAAAAATAATGTTATTATTAACACAGATGTTTTAATGCAAAACATTTATCTGCCTAGTTATAAATACCTACAGCTTTAGAACACGAGTGAACTTGGACGGACCTTCTGAGAGCGCAGACTCTTGGACGGTCCCGTCTCCCGAGTTAAGGAGTAACTCTACTCCCCTACAATGACAGATTGGTGTGTAGACCCCCAGCGTGGGGTGAAGGTCCAGCCTGCCAGCCCCCCCTCCCCTCCCTCCCCCATGACCACCCGGTCTGGGATGACCCTGAAGCGTCTGCAGGGAGCGGCCCCTCGGCCCCGCCGCGCCTCTGCCTTCCCCGGTGAGAAATTACTGCACCCTATCAAGTTGGTAATATAGGAACTTGCTTTTTTTACACATCTCTGTCATTCTCAAATATCAAATAGAGACTGTCATAAGATGATGATCAACTAATGGATTAGAAGAAAATCACTCATCCAAGCTATTTTGAAGTCAACTATTCATTATAATAATTACATTACAAACATTTTCATGCAGAAACAGCAGAAATGTCTTTCTTCAGCCACTCGAATATAGCATATAGAGATTTCTCTCTGTACCATCAAACCAAATTCAGTTGGTTTTGGACTGATACAAATATTTTATGAACAAGCTATTAAATGGACCTTGTAAATTGATAGTGTTTCTGCCCTTTACATGAAATTACTTTATTTTCTTTGCTGCAGTGAAGCAGGAATTTCATCTGGATGAGGATCAATTCTACACGGAGGATGAGTTTGTTGAGGAAGAGGAGGAGGAAGAAGAGGAGGAAGAAGATTCGTCGGTGGAGAAGGGCTCAAAAAAGAAGGGCCGAGGGCGAGCCAACGGAGAGCCGAGGATGAAGATGAGGAGGATCTTCAGGATCACCCACGGGAGGGAGAGACAGAGAGGTTAGTGCTATACTATTTGTTAGAAAAATATCACTCGTCACCGGCTTGAGTTTCAAAACAGGACACGTGTATTTATTATCCTTGCAAGAATGGAAGTAGTCATCACACACAGAGTATTTGGTACAACTAGTTCCCAGGACAGTGTCCTTCACTTGCTTGTATACAAGAGAGGGTGTTGCAGTCACAAGATGCAGAATACCGGTTCAAAGCAGTATTCTATGCTTAGTTCAGATTAGCTAAGGCAAGCAATAAACATGACGGTCATATATTTTTCATTACTCTCCAATTCATTAACCCACCATAGTAAGATAATATGATAAGTGAAACTTACGGAACGGGAGATTTTTAACAGACTATGAAATTAAATTTGCAGAGTACTTAATACACGAAGGCTCCCACGATGTCTTTATTGGTCTTGGCCCTACATATATAAATTTACATTAAATGAAGGTGATGTAAAGTTTGAAAGATATTATGTCTTATGATCGTAGTCGTCCTAGGAAGACCCCTTTTTTAGTATTTTAATGTTGAATCCGCGGCCCTCTTAATACTTGTTTTGCTTAAACTAAAAAATGGTTAATATGTAAAATTTACATGACAATAAAAAATTTCTTATTTAGTAATTTATTTCGGTTTATGTGCAAATAAAAGAAAACGTATGTTTGTTTCTTCTATTTACGGTAGTAATATTATTTTGTTAGGTAAACGCAAGACATTTTATTATAAAATGAGACTACTGACTATAATAATTTGTCAAACGTCGAATAATAGTTTATTACCGAACCTTTACTTTTTTCCTGTACTTTAAGTGTGACTATGACAACAGAAGGACATTTGAGGTGGAAGTGCAAGGGAAGGAAACCTAAATTCCGGTTGCTGTTAGTTCCGTCGCAAAAATTGATTTGTATAATACCGAATGGGAACCCGTAGATAGCAACTGTAAGAGATGTACAGAACGGAATGAAAAATTCCGTACTACGTTTAGAATTTACATTTCAAAATCGACATCTTGGGACGAGGACGTCGCAGGGGGGAGACAGGGAGTCAAAGGACTTGGACCATCCCCTAACGCCGTCGTCGAACCACCCAGAAGAGCTACCGGACCTGACGTGTACGCAGACGAGAGGCGGTACCAAACATTCGTGGCGGCCACCGCGCATTAGTTTTCCGAAGCGCGACAGGTTCGGAGTTTGAGGGGGCTGAGGCGGGTGGACGGGTCCTTTGTAGTGTTCGACACGCAAATCAAGAACGCCGCGTGTAAAAATTAGTCACAGCGAAGTTCAGAATAGACTGATGTCCAAAATTGAGAAAAGCAAACTAGACGACGTCACGTTAAGACCGCAACGAAACTCGTGTTACTACCTGTGTTCTACACGACTGTTTATAAACGATAACGTAAAGAAATGGTAAAGATAAACTAGTGTCTGTCGAGATTCGTTTCATAAAAGAACCTGCTCATATTTAAATCGGCATTAAATAGAAACTCGTTGATAGTCGGTGTTAATTTATTCAAACCTACTTCTTTGGAGTCCGAATCTTACTGTCGGGCAAAATAAGATTATTTAAGGAATTTTACGGAGTTTTCGTCTGTCCTTTACATTATTTTACATTTTTGTTGATAACCGTAATGTGTCCTCGATCTGTACATACAACAATAACCATCCCAACAATCGGTAATTATGTTCCACTACCTGAAACCAAGATCACTCACGTATGTGTTATCATAGTACTTGCCTTGTAATTTTAGTAGTCTGGAAAAGAGACCTCAGGTGGTCGTCGTCCGGAGACGGCCTACAGCCGCCCCTCGCACCTCCCGGTACCTACAAGGGACAGGTGAGGCACACGGACGCCTTCCGAGACCTGTACGAGGGAGTGGGCCGGACCATTCCTGCAGCCCATCCGTAGAACCAATACGCTTGTATTGGGGAACGACCCCAGAAATTGAACCGTCGGGCTCCTTCCTACCTTCGCCGCGAAATCTTTACGGTTTTCATTTTGACTTTATGGTAACATGTCAAAAATTACTAAATTAAAATCTCATATGGGAAATTGTGGTTCACAAGGAATCCCCTAAAAACTCGAGCCAAAGACATAAAAAAACCACTGTGTGTAGGTCCTGTCTCGTAAACGCCAACATAATTACGCGAGGGTACAGATACGAAAAGAACCAATAATGGGCACCCAGGGAAACACGACAATACTCCCCAAAAAACCATACGGTACATTTGCCAGACGGGTCTCGAGTGTTTGGGAGTTCATGTGGGACGATCGCCTCGATTTGCAGATTGTGTCTTTCTGGACAGAACACGGAACCCGGGTTCTTCGGAGCAACCTCTAAAGAGAAAAGGTAACAAAAGAAGGACCTCTGTCAATGCACGGGCTATGGGTTTTACCGGGTAACCCCAGGTTTACCTCGAGGAGTGTGTGTGTGTGTGAGAGTCGTCGCTTTGACTACTGCGCGACCCTACCACCCCCCCCACCGATCACCGGTTGGAGGCCGGGTTGTGCCATGGGTCTGGGGTGCGTCTAAGAGTTAGTTCAACAGTAATACCGTACATTTGAAGACCAACGGGTTGCGGGTAAACGATTGTGTATTAGTGACCCACAAGCGACATGTCCGATCACCAACCCTATTTTATGACTTACCACGAGAAGCCATAAAAGTCTCATCCGTGGAACTATTGTTTTCCGGGATGCATCGAACCACATGCATTGCGCTACATACTAATGGATCTTCTCGCAGTCCTTGGTGGCACAAAATCCGTGATAGCTAATACATTGTTGCTAACTTGTTACCCTTAACTAAGTCGAGATACC